ATTTGGATCATCCTTTTATCTTGCGGCCGCGAAAGGGTGGCTACGGGAGCTATACCCTCGTCGGACCGACAGTATTTGCAGGTGCCATGGGTGGTGAGATGTGGCCCGCCAATGAAGACAAGTTGGAAATTTTCGAAGTTATCTGAGGCTTTCTACATGACTTAATGCACTCAGGGCGGGCGAGGCTGGACGGAAATCGATGCCGAACGCCGATTGGACAGGCACGGAAACATATATCTAGTTTGGATGATGCTAAACTTTTGCAAGTAGTGTGGTCAAAAAGCTCTACAAGTTTTGAGAATAGCTGCACATGCTTGGACAAAATCCTGGCGGTTAAGAGCCGCAAAGGGTTCTTCTTAGGGAACGAATACTCCAAGAGCGGCACCCGTAAAGAAGCACGAGCATTGACAACCGAATCCCGAAAGAGGGAAAAGAAAAGGGCAGACTATAAAAAGATATACAGAGTTTCTAGTTGGAGACTTGATTCCCTCAGAGCGCTCGAGAGGTTGAAGTGTTTTATTAACTGGCAGACTTAGTTGTGCCGGCGTAGGTCAAATATATTCCGGATGTGGACTAGAGTCTTCAATTAGTCTCCTCAAAATAAGGTTCACGACGTCACTATTCCGTCGACTTGGTGAAATACGGTGGTAAGCCAACTGGCCTGCGTTAAACTCCATAATTCCAGAGTTTCGTTTCCGGAAAACCTTACCATTGGTGTGGGAAGTGGACTAATGATAATCTATTTCCGCGCGTTCCACGCAAATCCCCCTCTCTTGTCCGGTGCTCCCACCAAAGGACTCACGAACTCATGAGCCATTCAGCACTTAAAAAGCCATCTTTGCGTCCTCCACGATTACGTTCCAGTTTCTAGATACATCCGAATTTGCGTCCTCAACAACACTATCATTCGTCACAATGTCAAACTCCAGCGAGCGCAAGCCTGTCCCTGACCAAGCCGAGGATGACGCTTGGTTCCCCTCTCCCTTCTCTTTGACGCAATACACCGCTCCCAAGACCGACTTTGATGGCGCAAACTACCCCAACGCATACAAAGGGGGGAAATGGAAGGTTCTCCTCATTGCCACGCAGGAACGGTACCTGAAGATGGCCGGCGGCGAGTTTTTCTCGACGGGCAACCATCCTGTCGAAATGCTGCTCCCCATGGTTCATCTTGACGCTGCTGGCTTCGACATCGATATCGCTACCATCTCCGGCGACCCTGTCAAATTCGAGATGTGGGCTTTTCCCAAGGAGGACGAAGCTGTGAAGGGCATCTATGAGAAGTACAAGCAGAAGATTCGCAAACCCCTCAACCTCGAGAAGGTGTGGGGCAACGGTTTCTCGACCGACACGCCCTACATCGCTGTCTTCATCCCGGGTGGTCACGGTGTCTTGAATGGTGTTCCAGATTCAGCGACTGTCGGAAATATTTTGCGCTGGGCCCATCAGAATGAGCGATACTATATCACTCTGTGCCACGGACCGGCCAGTATGCTCGCCGCAGACGTGGGCAAGCCTGCAGGACGCAAGTTCATCTATGATGGCTACGAGATTGTTGTGTTTCCCGACTCGCTTGACTCGGGTGCAAACATTGACATTGGATACATTCCCGGCAAAATGGAATGGCTTGTTGGCGATCGCCTGCGAAAGCTCGGTGTCAAGACGTTAAACGAGGGCATCACTGGTCAGACACATCAGGACCGGTACCTACTCACGGGCGACTCGCCGCTTGCGTCCAATAACCTTGGAAAGCTTGCCGCCGGTGTCCTGTTGAAAGACGTGGTCGGTCGGAAATAGGACTTCGGAAAAATATATCAGGCTCCTTGATTGCTCACCGCAACAAGATAGAACCGTGCGGATGTAGAGATTGTAGCTCGACTTTTCAAGATCTTCTGGATTCGGGATGGAAAGAAGCAAGCGACAAACTCTTAATTACAGAATAGGCTCAGTCGAATTCTAAGCATGCAAATACTCAGATATGAAGACAAGTTGGTAATCCGGCAGGTGTTTAGTCTTCTCGAACTGTCCTGGTGTTGTTCTCCTCCATGTTTGGACAAACGTGAACCCTGCTAGGGCTTTCTGGCGTAGACACAATGTCTGATTTAGCTGTCAGCACCAACTATCAGAAGCGGCGACTCCATGAACCTACATGGGCCAAAACGCGTGAATCCTCCTGTCTCGAATGTCAACCCTCGCTTCGTCGCATAGCTGACGCACACTCTGCTCGTTCCACCCCATGCCTCTCGTGAGAAGTGCCAATGACAACCCCTCCAGCCCCATCTCCAAATTTACGCAATGATTCATCCCAATCTCTTTGAGCTTCAAGTCCGCCGGCCACCCATTAATTGGCCATGAAAACGCCTCACAAGTGACGTCCACGAAACCCACCTGGTGTATAACGTCTAGATAGCTAGATGGGCTGATGATTGGACGTCTGAGGTAATCTGATGCCTGATAAAGAGCATCATGCCATCTGGCAATGGCAGAATTCTCTCTAAGAGTGCCGTCATGGCAGCCCAGAGGAAGCGAGAGGTCGCCGAGTTCAAACCAGCCGCCAGGGATGAGGTTACTGTTTTAGAGCACGTAAGTCAGCTCAAACTTGTTTTACCTCGTTATTATCTTGGAAGGAAACTGTGCAGGTAGCGGCAGAGTTAATACTCGTATATCTTCTGAATCATTGCTGGTACGTCGGAAAAAGAACCCGCCATCGCTCGACACATGATGAAGTCAAATGGCCGGCTGAATTGCCAGTCCTTCTCGAGATCGTCTATTTCAAACTTGCAGTTTGTCGGGACCCTGGAGCCAGAGACTTAGCGTCCATACGTAGACAATTTCAACAAAAGGCCTGGTGATTTGTCTTGCGTACCATTCGGGTTGTATCGGGCTTAGGTCGACTCCAATTACCTGAAAAACATCGTAAATTCAGACGCTCAGAAGCCGCACAGCAATAATGATATCTTACTTCTGCCGACGGAAATTCGTCCGCTGGTGCGACAAAGTGGATCAGCAAGTTTCTTCCGCGCTATTCTGAACTTCAAAATCACAGCGGCTCAACGAACCGAAGTCGATGGCCCAAATGCCAGTACCAGTGCCAATATCCAGCACGCGCCTGGCACTCTTGTGCCCGGGATTTAATGCCAAGTTGTCGTCCAGGCACAGCAACCATATGTGATGCTGCAAATCTAAGTCATCCGAGGTTCACCCCTTTCGCAACTGAAACTAGTAACACTGCGTTTGATCTCGTCTTGTCTTACCTAAACGCTCGTTTTCTATCTGAAAGCTCTCGTGGTTACCATGTGCAGTCGACTGTTACAGATAATCGACGTCATAAATAACTTACATCATCGTTTGGATAATTGTACTCTATCGTTTCCGTCAGCTCAGCCTTCTCATCAGAGAATCCATGCCCGGTGAGCCATCATACTGCCCGCACAGTAAGAATGGTAAGTTCTTCCATTCTCCCTCTGGTGCTCCCGTATACTCGATCTGAGGGACTTCAATGTCGATCTCTCGAGGCTCTGGAACCGAAGTCAGCAATCTCTCCAATGGATTGTGTGTAATAGCCCCCAAGCAAACACTCCTAGACGTTTGTTTTAGGCCTGTTTCTAGATCTGATCCCTCTGGGGGCTGGGGCTGTCATTACCTCCTCATAGTCGGACGAGGGATCCACCGCAGCGGGCTAAGTTGTTGCGGGGTCAATAAGTCGGCAAACATAAGAGGGCAAGACACGAATTCGCACCGTTTGCGCGTCATTAAAATCCTCCATTGGTAGCCCTTTCGTTTGAGGCTTTCAGGTGCTGTTTCTGTGACAGCATGTTGCCCGGGAGAGTGGCCAAAGTTGAATCCCGATCGTTGGTTAGGAAGTGGAGAGAAGCATTTTAAGACCGCATTTGTGACCGTCTTCGCGTCCGACACACCGCTTTGTTTGGGTGAACCCCCCAACAAGCCACCAACGAGCAAACACGAGCAGGGGACCAAAGTCCCGTCGGCTCATATTGTCGCGTCAGATGCCAAGATAACCCTCATTCGACTTTGACTGGCTCGCTTCAGCAGACTGCAGGATCAATACTGGTCATGATTGGACACATGTTCCATAGTGCCCCACGGCTGCAGATGTTTCTGGTTTGCGAGGTGACTGCTGCATGAGCTTGCAGCTGCATCCACGTTCCTGCCATTTTACCCCTCTGGTTCAGACTGAAAGCAGAGACGTCACAAACATCAACTCGTTGGAACGCTTGGATGTAGCAGTTTGTGTGTGGTTTTGAGCGAAGCCGTGTTGGCTATGACTACAATATTCCGGCGGAACCTTCTTCGGTCAGGACAATCGAAGCTGAGCAGCCCATGCGCTTGCCGAGGACGACGTCAATTACCATGCAGAAAGTCCATATTCTCTCCACTATAACACCTCATGGACGACACAACGCGGAAAGCACTTGCGACTTGTGAAGACGATGCACAATACCTTCCTCCACACTCAATTGAACGCAAGTCTTGTCAAAGGAACTGCAACCCCACCTATGCCTCCTTCTCATCCTGAGGCTTCTTAGCGTAAACGCAGTGCCTGCACTAAATTTCACCTACCAAAGCCGCCTATCTCATACCTCATTCGGAACTTACAATCTCCAGTATGCGTGGATCCTGCGATCGCTAAGATCCTTCCGCGCCAACGCGAGAACCTCCTCCTGGCTCCAGTCCAGGGCCCGCAGGGCGGGTACCTGCTCACGGGCGACTCGCCGCTTACGTCGATTGACCTTAGAAAGCTTGCCGCTGGTGTCCTGTTGAAAGATGTCGCTAGTCGGGGTTGAAGGGATGAAACTTGCTAAGGACATCCAAGGGACATATATCACTAGAGGTAGCTTTTGCAGCAACGCATAGGCATAATGTATTCACAAATGAAAGACATTTAGTTGTTTAGGCACATGATCATCGTGCCACTTAAAACTGTGTCCATCTCCCTGAATGCTGGTGCGGTTGGTCCGAATACCAATCATTGGGCACTCCTACTGCTCATCCTCTCCTGTCTCAGGCTTCCTGGCATACACACACCGTCTACCCACAGCGTCAGTATCATCAACGCCACTGAAGCACACGCGTCGCACTTACATCCGCCAGTACGCGTGGATATTGAGACTGCGAAGCTCCTTCCTCGCTAGAGCACATAGTGCGACGACCTCCTCCTTGGTCCAACCCATTACGCGCGTAAGGAGAGCAAGTGAGATTGCTTCGAGGCCCATGCTTAGGTTGTGAAATTGCCAATCGCCAAGGATCTTCAGGTGCGGGTCCTTGGGCCACGGGTTGAGAGGCCATTTGAACTCGTGGAGCTTCACGTCAACGAAGCCCGTCGCTTTCATGGTATCCATGTGAACCGACAGACTGTCGATCGGTCTACCTATTTGCTTCGATGCTTGATAAACAGCATCGTGCCACTTCCAAAGGGCTGAGTCCTTGGACACGGTGTCGTCGTCGCAACCGAGGGGGAGGGCGAGATCACCGACCTCGTACCAGCCACCAGGAGTGAGATTACTAGCGCATTCACAAGCTCATTAGTCTATCATCTGGGAAATAAAAGCTGCGATGGATGGTAGGAAGTCAAATCCGGGTAGTGATAGCCTTGGCCTTTCACTAAACCTGCGATATGGTAGGGTAGTACTTACTCATAGACTTTTTGAATGATAGCAGGTACGTTAGCGAAGGCACCGGCCATGCCGCGGCACATGATGAAGTCGAAGGGGGTTTTCCATAGCCATTCCTTCTCAAGGTCATCAACCTCAAAGAAGCAATTTGTAGGTGTCCTGTGAACTCCATGAGCCCAAGATGCACAAGTGGCATTGCTACCTCATTCTTACCATTCAGGCTGGATCGGGCTGAGGTCGACGCCGATGACCTAATATGAGTACTCTTATCAACTCAGTGAACAGATTTCTTGCTTGTCGTTGCTCCTACCTCTGCAGCGGGAAAGGCGTCCGCTATCGTGTGACGTAAGCTAGTGGCTCCGGGAGATGAATTAATGCCGGTGTTTTGACTTACCATAGTCGATTGCCCATACGCCCGTCCCGGTTCCAAGGTCGAGAACTCTTTTGGCAGTCTTATGACCAGGATTGAGTGCCAATTCGCCGTCGAAGCACACCAACCAGACGTGGTGTTGTAAGTCTGCAGAGGGCGTGAGTTACGTAGGCAGGAAGAAGCCCCAAAGCGCTCTTGTAGAATGACTCACCATAACGTTCACTTTCTCTCTTGAATTCACGCCGCAGTTAGAAAGTCCACATCAAATGAACACGAGTGAAGGGGCTTGAAGCTCACATCGTCGTTGGGATAGCTATATTCTGTGTCACAATGTCAGCAGTAATTCATCTTTGGCCGTGTTCAGGTCATCATAACGACGTACTCCCTGCGCTTAAAGAATGATAAGTTCTGCCATTCTCTACTTGACTCTCCATAATGCTCGACCTGAGAGACGCCAACGACGAAGACTCGTGGAACTACATTAGGTCAATATCTTAGATTCTTGACACTGTGTGCTAAGAGATACGTAGCGGGGCAGAGGTGTACTTACGTCTCCAACCTCGGACGCGTCGTCCGCATTGATAGGCTAGATTGGAAGCGAAGACTGTCAGCAAGGGTCCAACCACCTCTACAGTACAAAGAGTCTGTCCTAAATGTGAAAGATCGTACATTCTCTGTGTCCGGTGGGGCCTGCATTGTCGCGAGGCTGTAGCTAAAGTGGCGATAATTCAATTCACTGCCTTGGTGTTTGGTTGCCCGCTCGATTTCGAAGTCCGAAATCCTTCGCCTACCCTGGCTTGGGACATGCAAGTGGAAGACAAGCTTGATCTCTGTCGGAAGGGGCCTCCCCCCATAAATATGCCCGAGTGCAACATGGGGGTTCCAATGGACAGCCCCACTCACAGTTCACGCGAACCAACAACAATGAAGATGACACATGTTGCAACAGCGGTTGGAACTCCTCGGCGGGCGCGGGAATTGCGCTTCGTGGAAGAAAACCCGCTGCGATGTGATTGGGGGGGACAGGAAGTCTTGTCCCTGGGATGTGGGCGAGTTGCTCGGCGTTGGATCTCGATTGGCCACACACCCCGGTGGCTTCTGCACCGGGGCAGCATTGCCTGCAGCCGCTGAGAAAAGGTGACGATTGTCACAACCCCTTCAACCGTTGCCTTTCACCAACAAAATCTGTTCAAGAATGCTGTGAGGATCGTTAGCTTGCTACTCTACATCGTTATTACTGATGGATACAAATAGGGGAGAGGGGAATGAGAAAGAAATAAAAAAGAACGTCTCAGACATTTTCTTTCGTATCCATCTCCGTCGTTCTGCAGGCCCTTGTAGCGGCGAAGCAGCATTTAGTTCCTTACGGAAAGACACTTAAGTTTATAATAAATCCACGGCGTTGCTAACTTACCTGGATCAACTTTTCCTCTACAAAGCTGTTTTCGTACAAAACTCTTCGTGAGATCTAGTAGATATTGTGTGACAAAGATGAATCATCATCTTGAGTACTGCTGGAAGAGTTGGGTACTTCCCCAATCCTCATTGTTAAATGCATCTTTTGATTCCCTTATTTTTTATTTTCTTTTGTTTTTACTCCTTGGTTTGGTCTTGCCGTCTCAAAGGTGTGTATTGTCCGTCAAATGCATGAACAACGATATTGTGAGAAGACATTGACAGAGGTACGTTCTTTGTACCACAACCCAGTCAAAAACAGTCGTTCTACGCCCGACTACCCAGCGCCTACACCTCTTCTGAACCCCCTCAGCATCTCAACACCAAACTCCCATCCACAAACCTACCACCAACCCTCCAAACCCACCCATGGTCCCCCGTCCTCCCCGCCCCCGCCGCACCTCCCCCTCCATCCCCCCTCCCTCCCCCTTCCCCACCGCCGGCGTGGCAACCTACCACTCCCTCACCGGTCCCTCCATCTCCCTCACCCCCTTCCTCCTGCGCCTCCACCGCCTGCTCTCCGACTACGAGTCCGCCCAGCCCCTCCTCTCACCCACGGACCTCGCCCGCGACTGGGACGCTTACTTCACCCCCTCCGCCCTCCCGCGGCCACCCAATCAACCCCTCCGCGTCGCGCAGGCCGACATCGACGCGGAATGGGACCCGTGGAAACTCCGCGCCTTGATCACCGCGACGTGCCAGGATATAGAGAGATTACAGACGCATCTAATCGAGGTCGAGAGGCGCGTCCACGACGTGAACCGCGATATCGAGGATGCGAAGCGGCGTGAGAGGGGGCGATGGGGCGGCGTGGATGCCGGCGCGGGGTTTCTTGATTTGTATGCGCCGCGGGTTGATGGCTACCGGAGGCGGAGGAGGAAGGCTTTGGAGGTTGACAAATATGAACTCTGCTCGGACTGGGATTTGTTCAAGCTCCGGGATGTGTTCTCTGAAGCTCAAACAGATATCGACAAGCTGCTGGATAAGTTGGAGGACTTGGAGACTGAGATACGGGAAAAGAGGCGACTGCTGGGCAATCTGCGAAAGTATAGGTAAGTTCTCGGCAGATGAAGAAAGCTGACATTGTTTAGAAAATGAACGACATGTTGATTTGATGCGTACAGAGGTAACCCCTGGGTTTCATTACAAGTGGTATCTATGTGCTCGTAGCACAATGTGGTATCATAATCTCATGACCTGAGCAACACAACTCCGTGAGCTTTTCCTTCCGAGAACCGTGACCTACCTGCTGAAATTCATAGTCATAGTTCTTCCAAAGCCAATTAGTCCATGTTACTCCGTGCCATGATGTGCAAGTGTTCGCCTCGGTCGAGATCAGATACAACGCCCCCTTTTTCACCTAATCCTTCAAAGCTCGTCATCATCGTCGCCCTCCATCTCGAGAAGCTCCAACAAACTAGGATGGGGCTCTCCGCAGCAAGGGCAGACACCGAGCTCGTCGTCACTCATATACTCCTCGACATCCTCCATGGGGTAGCCGCTGCTACGACAGAACTCAGTCCACTGGCGCTCGTCTCCGTCCCTAGTCTTGGGGACTCGCTTCCAGATCGTGAGATCCTTGCGGCTCGGCGTTGACTTTGGGTGGCCCGTTTCCCGTGGCGCAGGAGGCATGATGGGCTCACGGGGGTGATGGTGGTCGTCAAAGTCCAAGTCCGAGTCCGAGTCGTGATCGTCAGCGTCTCCTTCAGTCTTTTTGGGCTTCAGCGTCTTCCAAGCCCTCACAACACGCGCGCAGCTGGAGATGCCAGAGAGAGCCTTCAAGTTGTTCTTCAGCTGGACGAAGGAAGGCAAGCCAGCTAGGAAAAGGCCCTCGTCTCTGAGCAGTCCGGTAAGCTCCGCTGTCGCCTTGCTGCCCGCGTCATCTATCGGCAATCCAGTCACTTGCAACTCGTTGAGCGAGCATCCCAGCTCATGAGACGCCATGTCGTGGAGGTCGCTACCAGGCATTGGCAGAAAGTCGTCCATGAAGTTGACGAGGTCGATGCGGAGCGATTCGAGGTTGGGGAACAGTCGAGGTCGAACAAGCTTCTTGTCGTGCTTGGGGTCGTACGGGGCGCGGAGGGCACGCAGGAAATCTGTCACCTGGCCCCATGTGTAGCAGCGGAAGCCGGCACGGGCGTAAGTGTGCTCGTTGACACGGGGAATAGTCCGAAGAGTTACGTCATTCTTGAGGGACGGATGGTAGGACCGGTCGAGCTTGTGCTTCCGCTTCTTGTCGTCAAAGTACTGTGCTATGATGCGGAAATTGACGTGCTTCACGTTCTTGCGGTAGGCGAAGTCGAGGTCTGCAAAGTTGCGGACTGCATCGGGGTTGGTGAAGACAAAGGTGTTTTGGTTCCACAGAATGCGGCTTCCCTCCTCGTACATGGCCTTACAGGTGGCCAAAAAGTGAATGGCGATTTGGTTGTCGCGGGTGCGCTCGACAGCAGTGAGGTTCTCGGGCTTGAGCTTGGACAAGGGGTCAATGATGGGGCTGTTAGACGTCAAGGAGTACTTCAGAATTCGCAGCAGCACTTCGGTCGGCAGGTATGGATACGCGTGAGACTCGGAGCAGATGGAAGACCGGGTGCGTCGGCCGTTGGGACGGTGATGCTTCTGGTAGTTGGCTGAGACGGGCGACCAGGAGATTCCGTTCTCGCGAAGCAGCTTCTTGAGCCTCGCATTCTCGTCTGTAAGTGCCTTGTTCTTGCTGCGCAGGGGTGCATTGAAGTGAGCTTCGGCCTGGTCCTCCACATCGCGACACTCCCAAGGCATGACGACATCCTGTAGCCAGATCAGAAAACTGCAGAGTAACTGCAAAAAGAGATAATAAACCTACCATGTCGCGATGCGCCATCGTGAAGGGCTGGCGCAATCACTAGTATGAAGTTGGAATGACGTTGAATTGGTTAGTCAGCTTGCGGGTCCAATGCAAGCGGAACTCGTCCGACAAAAGTGACGAATGAGACGTTGGTGGAAATTTGGCAGTTGATTGAGAGCAGCCGACGCAGGCAGGTTGGGCGTCGCTGCAGGTTTTCAGGTCAAATAAGCGGCGTCGAATTCAATCGCCGAAAAAGCTCATCGGGAAGTGGAAAAAAATTCGCAGCGATGAAAGCTCGGGGCAGAGTTTCGATGAGGCAGGGTATGACCGCTGAATGAACAAAGTCGTGTTTGCGATACAACCGACGGCTCAATGAAGAAAGGTGAAACGAAGGTTTTGGGAGGGATGTGGGATGGGGCGTTCGTCCTGACGTTCGTGGAGGGGCCGATTGGGGGTCAGGGTCAGACAAGCAGAGTCAAGATGGAGGAAACGGAGAGGCGAGAGCGAAGGATAAGAAGGAAAGAAAGTCGAGACTAGGCGTATGAGTCGTGAAAATGGGGAAAAAATCGAGCGGCAGTTGCGGATGACGATTCCAGGTGGCCGACGACGGTCGAGGATGGAGTCGGACGAAAAGCCAACGGGAGGCAATTAGTGCGGAAAGATGGCGAGGAGAGCGGATTGAAGTGTGAGGTGCTCTCTCGCTCTCCTGAGTCGGCGCGGCGTCGTATCGGTCGTGGAATTTCCGTCAGCGCGCTGTCCCGGGTAAACTCCGTGAATCAGTCGACAGGGGCGAGAGATTGCAGGCAGAGCGAAGACGGACTGGGGCAGTTCAGTCCTGGACTTGTCTGCATCGAAAGGTGGGATGAGGTGGAAAAGATGAAGATGGTGAGAAGGACGACGTTGGCTCCAAGGCGGGCAATCACGAGGAAAAAAAAAAAAGACTATGACTGTTGGCAGAGGAGGGGAGGGAGGCAATGGAAGGCAGGAAGCGACAAGCGACGGAAGGTCTGGCTGCAGGCAATGAATGATGAATGGGCAGGTGGGCAGTGGACGGAACGGTGGACGGTGGACGGAACGGTGGACGGTGGACGGTGGACGGTGGACGGTGGTGGTCAGTGGCAGGCGCTGGTGCTGGCCGGATCTGCATGCATGGGCAAAGAAAGAGCAAGAGCCCGCCCAATGCCTTCCTTCCTCCACTGGCTGAGGGGCTGAGGTGCTGGCTACCTACCTGAATACAGTGCCCGTCCAGTGAAAAGCCGTCTCAGCTTTGACGGTGCCGACGTCCGCCGAAACTCCGACATGAGAGCTTCTTTCGCATTTGGGCTCCTTCCCTTACTCTGCCGCTGGGAGGGAAGCTGCAAGCACTGGCGATGCGGGAGGGCAGGTGCAGGAGCAGGAGCAGGAGCAGGAGCAGGAGCTGGAGCATCTACCTCAGTCCTGCCGTCCACCTGCCTTGATGCTCCCTTCACCCACGGCATCTACGGCTAAGACTTGTCTCCTCCTGCCTCACGGCTCCTGCCGTGTGCCTCCTGCCAATGCGCCCTGCCTGAGGTGCAAATGCAGAATCTGGCGCAGAGAGAAGGAACGAGCCTGGAGGGACTGCCACGAATTGACAATGCATCGGGGCAGGCAAGGGCAGCGGTGCACCAATTGTGTTGGCGACCTCCCGACCATGTGGGGCGGCTGCACCTGCCCGAAGATTACTTGCATCACAGCTGCATTGATGACTATGAAGATTTCGATGCCCAGCGGGATGGGGGAATGACGATGCGTGTCCACGGATGCGCGAAGGGAAGGGGCCTGGACCTGGACCTGGACCTGGCCGGGACCTGGAGCCCGGAGCGGGATAGTCTGGACGGATGGTGACGAGGGAGGAGGAGGGGCAGCCCAGCCCGCCATCCATCAGGCAGGTCGGCAGGCAGGGGTGCGGTGCGTGAGTGCGTGGGTGAGGTGTCTTATCTGACGACTTGTTGTTTGGTGCTGCGCCTGTCGTCTTCACGGTCGGCGCCGGTCGTGTGGTACGTGGATGCTGCAGGATCGCGGAAGGCTCAACATAGTTGCGCCTCTGCAAACTCTCAATATCAAAGGCTCCGGTCGCGTATTGGCGGACAGCGTGCCACTTCTGCTCGTTGCTTCAGCGGGAAGCTCCTTTTTAGACTCAAGTTGCCGCCGCGCCAGACTACTGACTACAAAGTGCGAGAGCTTGAATTGACCCTGGCACGCCTGGCATCCGAAATTTAATGGGCATGACAATTGCGGGGGACAGACCCAATTATGTACAACCTCTGTCCTATGGATGTAGCTTCCCGCAATGCCTTACGATCGCTGTTTGATCGCAAGATCGGATCGCGGAGCTGTCACGGCGGACATGGGCGTCGCGTCCAGTCTGGTCTTCGCTTCGTCTGCGCTTCGTCTGCGCTTCGTCTTCGCAGACGACCCCTCTCGTCCATAAATCCGGAAGCTGAAGCTCGGCCGAATTGCCTAGCCTGCTGGCTGTCACTCTGGCTTGTCTTGTGTCTCATGTCCGTGCGAAGGCATGCACAAAATAATTGGCATGGGCAATAAGAGGGCAGAAAAAGAAACAGAGGGAGAAAAAAAAAGAAAAATAAAATAAAAAAGAGACGAGAGGCACAGACCCCAACAAGCTGAGTGTGACTCTCCCAAACGGGCAATTCCTGTACCGCGCGACGTGGTGAATGGCTCCCTGTCATTGGGCACAGGAGACTGCATCCATGGGAAGGTAGCTCAGACCTCTCAACATGATGCTACTATCCCCTCAAAATAATCACCCCAAAATGTCACCCACTGGTGGCCGTGGCCCAAACACCGACCAGCGCACGTTCTGGACCAGCGCCTAGAAGACGTACTACAGACGATCAATGATGAATTATCCCCATAAAATGCGTCCATCGCGGTGCCCCCATCGTGCCACATCCCGCTGCGATTTGTGCACGTTGTGCAGCTTGTGCAGGAACCGCAGGTGCTCCCTCCGCTCTTGACGTCATGATGTCTTGCCCGCCGGGGCAGCAGTCACGTAACGAGCGCCCTTCTATGATGAAATGGCCGTTCCTTCTGCAGCTATGGTAGCTATGGCAATGAGGTCAGCTTGGCCATTGGGGTTCAAATAGGAGGAGCTGTCCAAAGGGCGGCTGGTCAATTTTGCTCTTGCATACATCACTTCACGATACCAGCAAACGAAGCTTCATCTGCAAAAGACTGCTCAATTGACCTCGTTTGCATACAAATCATTCAACAAACACCAGAAATTAGTCGCAATGTCTTTCTCCAACACCTCCACCGGCGACAAGCCCGCCGACCCCTACAAGGCCACCAACAAGGACATCAATGTCTCCGTCAAGGACAAGGTCGAGGACCTCGTCAACTTCGCCAACAAGAGCAAGTTCGGCATGATGACAACCAGAGATGCCAAGTCGGGCGCCCTCGTCTCCCGCTGCATGGGTGTTGCAGCTACGGTAAGCTCACTTCCCCCCATGCCCCTGGGCAGCGCCAGAAGTTCTAACGCCACCCAGGAAAACGGCGGCATCGACCTGCTCTTCTTCACCAACACAGAGTCCCACAAGACGGATGAGATCGACAGCGATCCCCACGTAAACATCGCCTTCTACAACAGCTCCGGCGACTGGGCCTCCATCTCAGGCGTCTCCAGCGTCCTCACCGACCGATCCATCGTCAAGAAGCACTACAGCTCTTCGCTGAAGGCGTGGCTCGGTGACCTCGGCGATGGCAAGCACGACGGCTCTGAGAACGACCCTCGTATCGGCGTCATCCGCGTCAAGACTGTCAGCGCCACGTATGCCATCAGCAACACCAACATCGTCGGCAAGGTTGCTCAGGTCGCCGAGGGCATCGTAACCGGCAGCCCTGCCCACGTCAACAAGCTTCGCGAGATCTCGTCCTCCGAGGTCGAGCAGTACCGCTCGGCTTCCTCTTAATTGCGTTCATTAGGGTTAACGAAAAACATGTACATTAGAAGCGTTATTTGGGGGAATGAGGGAAAAGAATTAGCACCAACCAACCCCAATAACGGGACATGAATGATGACTATTGCTTCCCATAATCCGCCTCCCAGCTCTTGTCAAAGGTCTCCTTGTTGAACGCAAACTCGCGAATATAGTCCCTCTCAAGCTCATGCGCCCTCCTGCCGAGCAGAACCATGCTGTGCAGCGGCCCCCCCAGAATATCATCCGTCTCGCACAGCTCCTTCAGCGTGCCCGCCACAAACTTCTCCGTCTTGCCGCCCACCCTCGCCGCGCCGACCGCCAGACTCTCAGGCCCGTACACGCCCTCGCCCTTCTCCTCCTCAATCTCAAGCATCTGCGCCGCGCACTGGCCCACTGTCATGTACCGCGGCGGCTCGTAGATCTTGCGCCCACGCGCCATGTTCTCAAGGCTCTGCTCTTTGACCTTGATGTCGAGCAGCAAGAGCGTGTGTAGGCCGATGCTGCGGTTCTCGCGGATGCGGTCGTAGAACGACGCCGGCTTCCAGTTGTCCAGGAAGAAGACCATGGAGACGGTCTGGCCAAAGTTGTAGAGCTGCAGGCCCGTGGCGCCGATGCCGGACATGATGGAGGCGTTGGGAACGGTCGAGACGGGGATGGCGAGCTCGCGCGCGCGCAGGACGAGGTCGGTGTGCGTGGTCGCGCCGAAGGGGTCGCCGACGACGAGGAAGGCGACGTCGACGGTCTGGGCGTCGCGGAGGATCTCGTCGCTGTTGGACTCGACCATTTCGCGGTCGGCGATGACGACTTCGCGGCCGTAGTAGCTCTCCTGCGCATGATGAATGACATGTTAGTTTGCCTGGCCTAAAGCAAGGAGTGTAGCATAGGTGAGGCTTAAGTAGAACGCACCAAGATGGCCTTGTCCACGAGTAGGATGCTGGTGTAGGCTTCCAGGTAGACCCTGGAGGCCTTCTTGACGACCTCGAGGCCCTTGACGGTGATGTCTGTCTCGTCAGAGAGACCGAGACCGACGAGGTACAGCATTTTGGCGGCTCAGTTGGGGTATCAACAAAAAGGGATGAAGCTGTGTTTATCTCGAAGTCGCAAAAGCAGAAGTATGAGTCGACGGCTTCTAGGCCGAGCGCATGTCCATTTACTTTTTTTTTTCGCTGCGGCTTTGGAGGGGGAGGGGTTGGAGGGGTGGGTATTTTTTAGCGCTGTAACCCCACCACCGAGAGACGCCCCTGGACCATGTCTCGTCCGCCCCTCCCAATTTTCCCTGGCCTGAATCCCTGCAGCCTCGTCCGCTAATCAGGTCCCCAGTCAAGCCATATCTCCCAGACACCAAATTTCATCATCGACGCGTCTTGGGACTGTTGGCCGCGCTCTTCGAACCTCAGCCATCCTACATCGACCATCGACCACCATCAATTTCCTCACCTCGATCCATCGAAACCTGCCACGGGGAGAATACACAATCCCCACCGAAACGACGCGTTCACACACCGAAGCACCACAATCATACACATACACAATGGCCGACAAAAACGGCAGCGCGTACGGCGCGCCCGCAGGCGACACCGACTTCCGCAAGACGTGGGACCTCGACGAGTACGCCGCCAAGGCCAAAGACCGTGAGGCCAAGGAAAAAGAAGAGTCCAAGGCGCGCTACGAGGCGAAGCTCGCGGGCAAGAAGTACCACAAGCCGCTGACGGGCAACGAGACGATGACCTCGGCGCGGCGGACCGTGCTGGACCTCAGCGCGCAGGTGGGCAAGACGCAGCTCGTCCCGGCGGGCGCGGGCGTGGGCAAGCGAGGGCGCGGCGCGGGCTTCTACTGCGAGGCGTGCGACCTGACGTTCAAGGACAACAAGCAGTTCGTGGAGCACCTCAACACGCCGCAGCACCTGGCGAACACGGGGCAGACGACGGAGGTGCGGCGCGCGACGGCGGAGGAGGTAAGGGAGCGGATTGAGATGCTGTGGCAGCGGAAAGTGGACTTTGAGAAGGAGAAGGCGACGAGTCTGGAGGAGAGGCTGGCGCTGCGGGAGGAGGAGAGCTTGAAGGAGGCGGAGGAGAGGAGGAGGAAGCGGAAGGAGGCGGATGAGAGGAGGAGGGTGAAGGCGGAGGAGGCGGAGAAGGTGAAGACGGAGTATGGGGAGGATGTGAGGATTGAGGGGGAGCACGACGAGGATGATATGATGGCTGCGATGGGGATTAGCGGGTTTGGGACGTCGAAGAAGAAGTGATTGGTGGTGGATGGTTGGTTCAGGATGCAACAAAAGAATGATACCCCCTCCCTCCAGTCTGGTAAGGCTTTAGAGTTGAGGATATGACAATGCAAGTAGGTGAAATCTGGTCATTGGTTGTGGAATTGGTGATGGCGGTATCGGTGGTCGGTCAGGAGTTTGGGTGTTCTCACCGAGGCTAGTCGGTGAGCATCGGTGAAGACGCCACCCCCGGCCCCCTGCAGTTCGGGTAACCCCACACGCATTGGCTCCGATTTCGACGACCTCACCACACGACAGCTCCGTTTGCCATCTTTCTCCTCCCCGCCATCCACAGCAAAGCTGTCGTCGAAACGCGTCCTCGACCCTGCGAAACCCCGGGCAGACCCGCCTCACAGCCACTGTTGCTCCTGTCGAGTCGTCCATTCTACGCGTTACCCCAGCTTCCTCGCCGATCGGATCAGAGTTCCTTATTTGGCCCCGCGACACAAACTACCTTGACGGAACCGAGGAGCGAAACCCCCGAAGTCGAGTTTACACACCGAACGAACACACATACATATTTACATACTTCTGCACCGATGGCCTCGTCGTCCGCAGCGGCGGCCTCGTTGCTGCGCCGCCAGCTCAAGGAGATGCAGACGGGGAAGGACATCCCCGGCATCTCGTGCGGCCTGGTCAACGACAATAACATTTTCGAGTGGGAGGTCATGCTCATGATTAGCGATGACTGCAAGTACTACGGCGGTGCGTTCTCCATCCTCTACAACCCATGCTTAATCCACACCGACTGACGCTCCCCGCCCGCACAGGAGGAAACTTCCGCGCCCGCCTCACCTTCCCGCAGACCTACCCTCTGATGCCGCCCTCCCTCACCTTCCAGACCCCGATCCCGTTCCACCCGAATATCTACTCGGACGGCCGACTGTGCATCTCGATCCTGCACCCGCCGGAGGAGGACCAGTACGGCTACGAGGCGGCCTCGGAGCGGTGGAGCCCTGTGCAGAGCCCCGAGACGATTCTGCTGAGCACGATCAGCCTGTTTCACGGACCGAATGACGAGTCGCCTGCCAATGTTGAGGCTGCGCGCATGTTCCGCGAGGAGAGGGAGGGCAAGAATAAGGATTTCCGGAGGAGGTGTAGGGCTTGTGTGCGGGAGAGTCTGGGTGAGGACTAAAAGCAAGCGGTTGAGATTGGTGGGTTGGGAGGGTTTCCGGCGATGGTGGAGAAATATGGCTGCATGGTGGCGTTTGGTGGTAGTGAAAGCATTTTCTAAGCTAGGTTGGTATTCAAACTGACGCCTGTTCTTGCGCTCTGTTCAAAGTGGACTCGTGAGGGGTTCATTATCCATTCTCAGGTCATCGGGGGTCCCATCATACTGAGAGAACATTTTAGAACGGCATGTAACCTAAAGATACGGTAGTTGCTGCAAAGGCCACCCTTACTCGAAGCTTGCCACGTCCGCATGTTGAGTGATTTGTCCCCCAAATCACGAGATACGGTTCGAACCATGAAGCCCGCTCAAATCAAGGCAATGCCATGCGATCTTCAGCTGACAACTTGTGGAAATAAAATCAAATGAAAGGCTAATTTTTTTTGCGTGATGATCAACATCAGAAGACACGTGCAGAAATAGGAAACTAACAGCCCTTATATGAACAACATTAGGCCCCCTCTAGATTCTGGTTTTTTTCCTTGTGGTATGCATGCTTCCTCCTTTTCTTCTTCGAGGGCCTTTCATCGGTGGACATCTCTGGAGGAAACCATTCTTCAAGCGCCCCAATCTCATCATCAGTAAAAGGTTTGGTCTCCCTAAGATACTGAATCACGTCAACATCATCCTGGCCACCCAATTTCAACCATTTCGCCGCCCCGTTTCTGATCATTATCTGACAAGCTTGGTACTCAATTCGTAGTTTGGTCCCGTGGGCCAAATATGAGAGCTCTTTGACAAATATTTCCCAAACGCTGCGTAAGCCAGGAGCGATCCCGCTCTCTGGGCGTTTGATAATGTGTTTTTTGAATCCGCCCATCTGGAGTAAATTATCCAGTAACTCCAAGTCGATAGAATCGGATAGGATTACTTGAGGCTGGTCCCCAACTTCAACGTGCCCCGATCCGTGGAGAACTTGAAGCAGGATAAAAGCGCTATTTCGGTTCTCGTAGTATTGAACGTAATTTGTGCGAGAATATCTCAGTTCAAGTTGGTGTTTTTGAACCAGTATACGTGCCTGTGAAATTGCCAGCAATCGCAGAACTCCATCCAGAATGTCAGCCTCGTCTCCCAAGAGCAAACTCTTTTTGCTGTTGAGAATCTGTTGGAGCTCTTCGCATCGATGAAAAAGCATATAGCCATCATCTTGGGCCGGATAATTGGTAGCGGTATCTGTTTCTTGGAGAATAAACAGAAACCATAGTATGAAGTCCCTGTTGACATTTTTGTCTGTTGCATGGAACTCAAGAACACAGAGGCAAGACCTCGCAAGGAAGTACCGATTGAGGGAAGTTCTGTATCTTATTATGGGCCAGTTACGTTGGAGAAACTCGACGACTGTTCGGTGGAGAAAGCCCAGTCGAATGCCGTGGGGGTGAGAGTTGGTGGATTCAAGTGACCAAGCCTGGACTAGATCGCGACACCACGATAGCAGCTGGTCTCTGAACACGAGAGGATCTTGATCTTTTGTGCTGTCATTAAGGAAGTTTGGTAAGCTGACCAACTCACTAATACCGGGATCACCAGTATTTAGCTCGCCATGGTGAAGTGGATGTTGGTCGCTGGTCGTTTTTGGGGTCTCTCGAATTCTCTTGCGCCAGGAATATTATGGCACGGCAGACTTGAAGTAGTTTATCGAGCTCTTCGACTCCAGCGTCTGGATAAGCTTGGATTCTCGTGCCATAAACAAAGTGAGAGGCAATGGTGCTTTGGCCATTAGCAATATTGAGAAAACTTGATCCACCTGATCTTTGTACACGTCTTCAATAGAACCAATCATCCTTTTGAAGAATTGTTCAAGGTCTGGGGGAAATTCGGAGACTCTTCTTTGCAAGGTGTCAAGTCCGTCGTTGTTATTAAGGCCTCGCACAAGCGACTTAACGACTAGTGAAACCCTGAAGAACACTCCTTCAGCTTTGGTGCAGATAGTGTCTATGAGTAGTTCTTCCTGAGCTTCTTGTGACGGCTGAAGCATCTTAAACCGTTTATTCTGACGCAGGGTGCTTTGGACATAGAGCCGCATATCCTCAGAGGTGTGATCATGCTGTTACGGTCAGCTATCCGACAGTAGGGTCTGCTAACAGAAGCTGGGGATTGATACGTTCTAACAGTACACTGGGTTGTGGTCGTAGGTTGTAGTTTGGAGGCTGTAGTAGATCAGGTCTTCAGAGGCTAAGGTGATCAGTCTTAGACTTAATAAGTGATTTGCAGTGAAGGTAAGCTGAGAGTATCTGTGAGGATGAATACTAAGTTGATTGCTGAAGAGCTATAGAAGTCTGACCATAAGCCAGGCTTAGGGTCATACTATATATAAGTCTAATTCTGAACATATTCCTTTATACCTTGGGTCGATCTGGATCATTCTGATCCAGAATGATCGTTTAGCCCCTAAGTTGTGTTGGATCATATTGATCCAATATGATCGTTATCTTATCATCATATGACTTAGACCATAGTTCTTCTGTTACCAAGTGAGTTCCTGTTGTTCCCGTGATCCTGCAGTACAAATGTCCTGTCCTAGCCGCCCGACGCCCAAGTGGGTCGGTCAACTGTTATCCATGCATAACGGGTCGTAACACATGCATTTGAATTCGGCCAAATACACTGATGAATACGTTGCGGAATTCTTGCCACGGTCTACTTGCGCAGCAAACCTTGATCTCAGGCGACTCTGTAATAGCTTGGAGAAATTCCGTTAATTCGTCGCCCTGACCACTGTATTCATCAACCCCATCTACAAGGATTAATATACGACAGGGAATGACCGGAAGTGCTTTAAGACGCTCAAATGCGTCAGAAAGTTCTTCGAGGCTCCATGATTCTAGGTATCGAAATTAGCCTAAAATCCGACCAGGCAACAACTCGCTGATAAGTTCTGGAGAGTTGGATAGGATTTGGAATAATAAGGTTCTCAGCAGACCTTCTTAAGATTTTTGTAGTGTTGTTCCCCCAAACCAAAAGAAGTGACTAGCGACAAGCAGTGGTTTACGCCCGGCCCAAGTGTATGCGAGATCCTTCATCATCGTGTGGCCTAAGATGAATGTCATCAACGTCGATTTGCCGGAACCGGGCTTTCCTGTAATCCAAAAATGCCACTTGACTCCCGTAGCCAATTTGAAAAGTTTCCTTGGGCCTTTTCGCTAAAGATCCACTCGAATGTGTATTTGTGCGCTTTGGGGATTTCGTTCTGCCGTTCCTTGATTTGGGTGAAAAGTAGACTTTCAAGGGTAGCCCTAGCGATGCCGTGGGACTTTGCTTCCTCGGCGAATGCTGCCAAGTTTTTGGCCAAATGTTTGACTTCACTAGATTGTGTCGCCGAATGTGATTTTAGTAGGTCCTTGACCTGCTGGGCCATGACGTCCAATTTCTGCTCGGTCACCCTGTTCCACTCCTTTGAAGCTTCTCCCCAGGCGTCAACTGATTTCCTGAGAGTTCGATGATGTTCGCTGGAAATCGGTAAGTTAAGTTCACTGTATCTCCGCGGTGGAAGAGGAAATGGTATACGTACTAGATAATCCCTTGGAGCCTGAAACATATCTGTTCTCTGATGTCGCTCAAATCGGCCCGGAGGCCTTCTACCGTGTTGCTTTTCCAATAAGACATGATGGACATCTTCACCTTGGTTCTCTTCCGGTGCCGTTTGGAGTCAGGAACTCTCAAACGGCCAATCTCGATGCTCAGTTTCGTCGCGGTGTTGATGCATCTTGTCAATAGCGGCGCCAAATCAGCGTCCTTTACTACAGCCTTGTCGTTCTTCAGCTTGGAGCAATGCTCCTCAAAGTCGGAGCATGTGAGGGCTATTTTCGCATTGTGCTGAGCTAACCCGTCAAGATCAATGTCACGGTAGGTAGTGGTGATCGTCTGCGTGGCTTTGAAACCAAGTTCGAGAAATTGAAAGATGTTGGCTGCGATACCGAGCGCCGCGAAGGCCTCGGCCATGACGGAGCTGATAAAGTGGATGGCTAACGCTGTTGAATAGCAAAGACCCGTCGCAGGTTTACCCGTAAGATCAGAAAATGTCCAGAGCAAGAGGATTGTGTTAATCAAGAGGTGAAAGAATAGCGTGGAGAAACAGAGCCTGATGATATGTGCGCAGCCTGATTGCGCAGCCAAAAACATCAGCTGACAGGCGTTCCTGTGCCACACCACCCTTAGCTTTCGAATCTCACCATGCAACCATTGGCTCGCTTATGTGCCTGATGCTAATGTATACTGGTACAAGACGCCATATGTTCACATTTGAGCTAAGGAAAATCCCGCCCCCAACGATCAATATCCATCCGACTGCAGATTTCGTATTCTACTTATGACACTGTGGATGGCCTGAGAAGCATTCATACGGATGCAGCGAATGTCCTCGCCCATGCATTATCGTGGTTTTAGTCGCATAGCTCCTGAAGTCATGTGTCGTTCACGCATGACGGCCGGGTCTATGGATCCTTTCTGGGTAGATCTACTCCTACCCGTCTTATAACCCAGTCAACTGGCACGGGGTGGCATGCGTGCGGATTCGCAGAAAGGTCCCAGCTATCATTAGCAGAATCAATGGACTTATCAACTGGGTGGCTAAGGTTGCCGTCCGGCTAACGCTACGAAGAGACCGCTGAGGTAAGGAAAGAAAATCCCTGCTGCTTAGAATTGGAGTCCACGCGGCTTCCAAATATCCCACAGCTTTCTTGGATATGAAAGCTGCTCTTAGTGAAGGAATGTGTTGATTGTCATCAGTGCTGCGTTGCAAATCTTCAACGAGTTCAAGAAAGAGTGCAAATTTAAATAATGTAAAATCCCCATTGTGGAATGAAGGAATCCCCTTCTGAAAGTCACAGACGCCACCAAGCCCACGTACAACTCTTTGAGGCAGATGTAACAACTCCTTAGGTGTCTATTCTTGACCCATCCTTGAACAGATACACGATATCTTCTCTTGCCCTCTTCAGGATCTTTTCAAGTCGATCGGACAGTAGTCCCGCTTCGATTCTTTCCTCGACCCTGACCTTGATCATATCGTTCTCAATAATATCTAGCAAATGCCCAAATGCCGTGTCTTCGCCGCATGTTGCAAGATTCCTCAGATCTCTGAACGCACTTTGTACTTCATGAAGAACAACTGGCTCATTCTCGACCTTCTCATAAAAGTAAGCATCATCACCCGGCGTTTTTGCCTTCCTAACGGCATCAAAGGTCTTGACGTCGGCATTTCTGCGTGCGATCCACAAGGTAAACTCCAAGAAAATACATCCAAGTGACCAGATGTCGTATTTACGGGATCTTGTCTTTGACGAATCGCCTTCGGGGGCTTGGTAAGCAGGAGTTGTTGCTTTCGTTGTCGTCGGTTCATTTCTCTGCAAGGTTCCCACAACATGTACCCTGGAAATGCCAAAGTCGGCGACTTTCAAGATGCCGTAGCCTCCGGTCTTGAAATGGAGGATATTTCCAGGCTTGAGATCTCCGTGGCGGCAGTTTTCCTGGTCTTTCATCTCATTATGGAGAGCTTGTAGGGCCTCGGCGAGGCCAAGCATCTGTTCTAAACCCCATAGCGCAAGTTCTGGCGATCGACTTTCGACGTCCATATTGTTCCATGCGTCGACAAGATCCCCGCCATCTGCCCAGGGGAAAATGATATAATTCTTGGGCCCTTGCCTGAAGGAGTCGAGTTTCTGCGTGATGTGCTTTGCGTGCTTTAAATCACGTATCTTCAAAAGATTGTTGAACTCCTGCTGGAAATCTTGCTTGTACTTGAACTCCTTGAGGGCAATCCTGAGCCTTGGAGTTTCATTCTGTTAACACATCAGCCATCTCCAACGGAGAAACTCATCGCGAGGAGATTGAACCCACCTCAAATCCCATCTGCTGAGATGGGTGAACCTTGGCCTTGAATACAACGTTGTTGATTGTGCCTTTCACCTCGTCTACAGCCGGGAAAGGAAGAGGGCACATTGGATCAATGGTTTGATGATTGCCTGTGGTACTGAAGACAGGCGCCAAAAATAGCCACTGTTTGTCGACGAACACGTCCAGCTTTGGTAGCTCCCAATCGGCAGGCCAGTCGAGCCTCTTGTTGCCGCTCTTCTCGCATGTTAAGGAATTACCACTCTTTGCCAATGGAAGATCATGATCTGTGAAATGGGCGTCGAGGAGAAGCTTGACGCCCCAAGGCTGGCTGAGATACACGCAGGTGGCAAACAACTTTCGTCCCTTTTCCATAACTCTCTCGGCTAGCTTTACCCTCGCTTGTCGTTTTGATCGAAACAAAGAAAGCATTCCTCGCTTTTGTGTTTGTCGGAGCTCTTCTTCGACGGTCTCTTTGGTAACGAGTTGCTCGAGCTCGCTCCTGGCAATGTATCTGCGGTTTCCCAGTTTATCTTCGCTATAGGCCTCGCCTAACTTTGCAAATAAATCCATGGGTAAGAAGCCTGACTTTGTTTTATCTTAAGATTCGGGCAACGAGAGTTGGTGCAAGATCTTGTTGTAAGCCGGGTGTGCCAATTGTGCTCGGATGCGACAAAGTTATCTACCACTAGGTAGTGAGCTGACGGAACGCATTGCTCTTATAAAACTACGAAGAATGGCTACATGATTGATGCTCGGGACCTGGACTACGCGCTTCACTGATACTTACCTGCCACAGCCTCGTCAGCAAGAATTCTTCCCGGGAATAGCATGGTATTGTGCGGTAAATGCCTCACCATACCATCAGGCTGGGTTATGCAACCACATTGTGAAAGAAATGGTGGCTGCGTCGTTGGACCATGTGACAGTCATTATGTGGGCAGTGTTCTGCATACTTGGGAACTAACACATGTGCCCCCGCAGCCGGTTTGGTGACTATGTTGGTATACCGACAGCCCCGAAATTCCACGTAGTGGTTGCATTATGCATGATCAACCATTCAAAATCCGCATCTGCAGCAGACCAAGTAAAAGTCCGCATGATGCATGCAATAATTCGTACATGGTGCATAATGGCTATATGCCATGCTATCGACCTAGTACGTCCCCAAGCAGCTGCCTCAATCGTTGGCAGCCATATTTCATAGAGCGTTCCCCCCAAAATAAAGCTACGATAGGCTGCCTCGTTTTTGTACTGGACACAGTTTGTTGGCGCCATAAGTCCTGTGCAGAAAAAATACCGGCTAAATGGGCCAATGGCAGTGGGTGCATAAGTTGACCTGCGGTTGCTTCGCCAAAGGAGAGGAGCAAGTCATACCAAGCAGCGGGCCACAGCCTGGGGAGGTCGGTCTGTCACAGACAATATCCTTCCGAAGGACCCTAACAATAAGCTCCCGGCCTCCGACATTGGTCACAAATCTTAGCCGTATCAAAACAGCCTCTTCGAATAGTACAGCTGGCGGGCCTAATCAGCGCAGTCTTTCCTGGTCTCAACGGGTATCTGGTCGCAAGATTAGACCCCAGCTATCCGGCACAATGTCAGACAGCTCACCACAAGGCAGGATATTCGCAGCGACCGTCCGAACGACGTACGAACAGAGTGAGGGACCGAGATCCCCAGAAGTGGGAGGTCAGAATGGAAGAGAGCCACAAGGTAACCTGGAAGACGAGGACTCTGAGCTGGAAGATGACGACTCAGAGCGTGTATCACCACCGTGGATTCCATTATCTGAGGTCAAACATGTGATAAGCGCAGCAGAAGATGATCTAAAGACACTTCAGCTCTCACGACTTGATCCCGATAGATTGCAAACATTCATCAGCAAGGCACAGCGGCTGTGTGCTCTTCTCATCCATATCGACCGCCTACCTTGGATCGAAGCCTTCTGCGAGCAGAATTTTGGAGATGCAACATTTCCAGTCAAAATTGTGCAGAAGAACAAAAACACATGTACAGTGCGGCGATTGAAGACCAAAGTAACCTTGTCTGAGGCATCAGTCGACATACACATTGCAAAGCCAGACGATAGAATAATCGTTCATACGATTGAAGATCCCCACCAGTGGTTTTTCTTCCCTCCCGTATTTGCGAAAAGCGGCTCTCCCTATACCTTCGACCCCCGATGCAGGCTGCCATTCCTGAAGGAAATCACCCACAGAGCAACAAATTTCAGTGCGGTGACCGAACGTGTCATTCACAAAAGTCACCTGGATTTTCCGAAGTTCCCAAATGATGACCAAATTGTAGGTTATCTATAGTCATTTGCCTTTTGAGTGGGGAGCAAATAAAAGCTGAATGTTCTACAGGGTACTGTGGTCGATGATGATGGAAATCCTCATGTCGCTGTGAAGGAGCTCACTTCGGAAAAGTGGTTCGGGCCGCGATTCAAGGACGTCGTCAAAAACGAGGAGGTAGTTCTGGTTCACTTTCAAGAGAAAAAGCACGACCACTTCATCAAGGCCATTGCCAGGTACACCCAATCCCGAAAACATTACTTCATTTTCCCTTGGGCGAAAGGCGGAAATCTTCACGACTTCTGGGAGAAGCAACCTAGCTTGAGCGACGACTGCCTTAATTTCAGTCGCGAAACCTGGAACACGTTCATCAAATGGTTCTTTCGACAAATTCTTGGTATTTCTGGCGCCATGAAGAGCCTTCATTTCCCGGTCAGCAATCCAGGTGGCTCATGCCGCCATGGCGACCTCAAACCCGAGAACATACTTTGCTTTTGCGATGTCGTACCTGGCCCAGGTCAGGTACCAACTAACGTAAAGCTGGTGATTGCCGACGCAGGGCATGCGAAAATCCACGAGAAAGCAACAGAATTTCGGCCTGACCCGACGAGAACCCCGCGTGGGACACAACGATATACTCCTCCAGAGGCTAGCAACCCAGGCGAGACCAAGAAGCCCACATCACGACGATACGATATCTGGTCTCTCGGATGTATGTATCTTGAGTTCCTCGTCTGGATTCTATATGGGTACAAGGGACTTCTCGATTTCTATAACGACGTTGGTAATGAGTTCTTTTCCACCACTGGAGCAAACGTTCAAGTGAAATCTCAAGTTCAGGACTGGATCGACGCCATCAAGATTGATCCGAGATGCGCGCCTTTCACATCAACCGCAGTTGGGAGATTGGTCCACCTCATCGAAACCAGGTTATTGGTCGTCAATATCGAGGTCGAACCCACAGACAACACTGATTTCCAAGAAGTCATGGATCTCGGAACGATGGGAACTGGCCCCAAATTAATTATTCGGCCGCCGACTATTAAGATCAATCCTGAGCCGACACTGGCAAGAGCTGATGCAAAAGAGATGGTAGAAGAGATGGAAACCATTGAAGCCGCAGCGGATAAAGGTTCGATTGAGTGGATTAACTGGGATGGCATGGAACAAGCGTCCAAACTGGGAACACCGCAAGCATCCGATACCCTTCTTTCCGACAAGCAATTGAAGACAGGCAAACAGCGGCGCCATAGCTTATCAGTGGTTTGGAACTTCCTGTCATTGCACTCATAGACGCTCACTAATACCAACTACAGACTCAGAAAAGTGAGGTAGGGACCTCTCCAAGTATATCCTCACGTTTGAGGTAGTTTCGTTCTTGCTTCGTTGTTTCTGGGACTGACGTAATCCGTGTGACGTTAAAAGAGAGTAAGTTACTTCTATCACTGGTGTATGACCGGTGCCCGCTATATATTGACGACGAATTCAGTACGTAGGTAACAGCCCCCAGAATGCAGCCGAGCGGGGCTAGGCTTACAACTGCTCGTGGGTTTCTTGCAGATGGTAATTGTTGATTTCTCCTGACCCTCGGATTGACGTTGCTAATGTCGCTTTCTCTTATGGTATCGAAGTTTGTATGTGATATTACTCCCGGTTTTACTTTCACAGGCTTCAAGCTGATCAGCACTCATTCAGACGGTGGGTTACAGCCCCTCACGATCCATGGAACTAAGTCTGAACACCATAAACTGATAGCGTTTGGATTCCCCAATAGCCGGTAAGAAACCCCCTATGATTTTGATGAGATCAGGATGCTAAACGTCTGTAAATGACTAGCTTGACAACAGCTGGAAGTACACTGCAGATAGCAGCCTTGCCAGTTACATCGTCCGTCAAACTCCAAACACAATCCGACACCAGCACGTGATTTCCAAACTCTGCGAATATTGCGAGCACTATCGACTTTGGCTGCCTGACTACAGATTCTCTGTGAAGTTGCTTGACCTTGTGAGGAGGTCTGACCGGTGCAACTTCTGCCGACTTTTACACAGATGCATGAAAGATCGAGCAGCGCTCAGCCGGGATGTCATCACGGTTTTGAGATCAGACTCAAGCTCAGCGCTGACCTTCCATGAAAAACACCTTCGCCCAGTATTCTCCCTGTGTACTACAATTAGTAAGTGGACTCTCGTATGACTGTTTAGAGCCTTTATGTATGTCGGCCTGTTCAGCTGGGGAAAGGTCGAACCCTGCTGATTGATAAAGGCTCAAAGCGGCTCGCAGAAAATGACGTCCATATGGGTTTTCCTACTCTGTTGCCTCCAGGCAGCGACACGCACATCAGAATACTTGCGGAATGGCTCAGTATCTGCGACAAGAAGCATAAACACCACCAATCTGGAGGCGATTTTGTCCCGTCTCGGCTCTTGGACCTTGGATACAAGGAGTGCAAGAAAGTGCGACTCGCGTCCAGTTTCACGGACAAGACCTCTATGCGCTATGCAGCCTTGTCACATAGGTGGGGCTCCCCGAACGAAGCAAAACCGGACAGTGTAACGTTCCCTGTCACAACATGTGAGAATCGACACCTCATTGAGAGCCCCCAGGGAGTGGATGATATTGTACTGCCCCAAACCTTCCAGGATGCCGTTTGTATTACCAGAAGCCTTGGTATACGGTATCTTTGGATCGATTCCTTATGCATACTTCAGAAGACTGGGAAAAGCCACGATTCAGAACATGTGGAAGACTGGAGAAGAGAGTCACAACGCATGGAAAAGGTCTTCAGTTCCGCGTACTTCACGATTGCGGCTAGCTGCGCAGATCATATGTTTGATGGGTTTTTGAAGACACGCAGCCCGAGAGATATTGTCACCATGACTACGAACGATGGTGAAAAGTTTCATGTGTGCGAAACTATCGACGATTTTGATCATGACGTTGAACAAGGTGAATTGAACAAGAGGGGTTGGGTGTTACAAGAACGCGCTCTATCACGTCGAACACTTCACTTCACGAAGGGTCAGACATACTGGGAGTGCGGCGAGGGCATAAGATGCGAGACTTTCACTCAGACCACGAAGTAAGTTATCCAAGATGATGAAGAGTCAATATAGTAATAACTATGTCAAACAGTCGTAAAGCAGCCTTTCTTGGTGACTCGGACTTTCCTAATGCCGTTAAGTCCGATAAGCAAGGGAGACAACTTAAGCTTTACCATGAGTTTTACGAAAGATACTCCTCCTTAGACCTTTCCAACCGAACGGATAGGCCGATGGCTATTGCAGGGCTTGAGAAAAGACTGATATCAGCCTTGTGCTCTCCGGGAGGTTACGGTATCATGCACTTGAACTTTCCCAGAGACCTTTTGTGGCAACGTCAGGACCAGAATCGTTCACTAGAGCGCGTGACGTTTGATCATTCGTCTAGAGTACCGTCATGGTCATGGATGGCTTTTCATGGAGAGATAAGATATATGAACGTTCCATTGGGAGACGTCATTTGGGAAGACCGTATTATTTCTCCTTTCCAGCTCGGCGACTTGGCCACAGACACAGGTTACGATACTCAGCATCCGCATGAGTTCAAAGCCCCGATATCGGTGCTGACGAGGGAAAGAGAACCTGATCCGACTATAGACAGACCGAGACTGCTGATACAAGACGATATGAACTTTTCGCTTCAAGAACCAATCAAGTGTATCGTTGTCGCAAGAGGCAAGAGGAACCTACAGCTGTACGCTATTCTCGTGCACCTGGTTAAGGAAGAGGATGGAGTTCAATTTTTCGAGAGGTCTGGCGTGGCGTATCTAACGAAAAACGATATCGCAGCTGAAACCAGCGCAGAGCATCCTTGCATAGGAAGGATTCAATAACAATGAGCAAAACTGTTAGTTTGGGAGGGGGTACCTAGCAATTCGACATCAGAATATTCAAAATCCGGGGGGAGAAACTTTCAACAAGCCATCTTCTATAATTGTTTCGGTTATGTCGTTGGGAAATGGTGGTAATAAAACTCATCAACTACAGATTGATCACAGTAGCTCATTTCCCTTATCTTTCTAGCTGCAGAGTGCTGTATCGTTTTGTGCCGAATTCCTGTGTAGATTCAAGTATGACCAGGAATACATGATTGGGATACTTTAAGCAGCACGTGCTAAGAACCTCAGTTGTAGTATGGATCAATGCCCCTGCCCGTGTCCTGTTCGCACAGTACGGTTTGAGCTGACTCGAGGCTACTTTTGGTTCATTATGACGATCTTGATGTTCTTCCTCCCGTGCTGCGCCTCGAATGCCTGTGCAGCCTCGATCAGAGGGTACGTTGATGTAACTAACGGCTTGAGATCGACGAGCTTTCTCTCCAGAAGACTGATCGCGTCTGCAAAACAGCCCGGCGTATACCGCACAGTACCTGTTTCATTATGAGAATAGTTTCAACAGCAGCAAAGGGTCATGGATTACCCCTGATATTGATCTCCTTGGCCGTGACCAAGAATAGTGGCACCGATGTGAGGGGTTTTCCTAACCCGGCTTGAATGCAAGTTCCACCCGATTTCAGCATCGCGATTGCCATTTGGATACAGGACTCTGCTCCACTGGCCTCAACTGTGACGTCGAAACCGTTTCCAAGTTCGTGTTTGGAGTTGAGTTCCTTGGCGTATTGCTGATAGAAGGAGAGGGAATCTACAGATGGGTCGTCGTTCTTCGGAGGGACAATACCGATGGTCGCGCCGTACGTCTCTGCGAATCGCGTCCGAGATGATTCAATGTCAAACATGATGACCTTCTTGACACCGTATGCCTTTGCAACAGCAAGTACTAGGAGACCCAAAGGACCACATCCACTGAAAGAGAAAAGCGTCAGCATGGCCGGGCATCCTGTGTACATGTAGAATGCCATACAATATAGCCATTGTTTGGTGAGCGTTTAGAGAGGCTCTCCTGGCGAGTTGAACCGCAATGGCGAGCGGTTGGATCGCGCCCGCCTCCTCCCAGGAGATTGAGTCCGGGATGGGCACCGTCATTGAGGCCGTGCAGGTGAAGTACTGGCAAAGTGTGCCATCGGTGGGGTCGAGGCCGCAGTACTTCAAGTTCGCGCAGATGTTCTGGTTGCCATTGACACAAAACTCGCAACTAATTCAACCATCGTCAACACTCTCCGTAATTGAAATTTAAGACAGATGAAACCTGAAACCATACTTCATGCACGCGAAACCCGGCTCTACAGCCACTCTCTGTCCGACAAACCGGTCCTTGACACTCTTTCCGGTTTGGATGATGACACCCGAAGACTCGTGCCCAAGGACGAGTTGGCGAGATACCTTGTCGCTTTCCCAGTTGTGGCAGTCTGAACCGCAGATACCTGTCGCAACTATTTCAACGAGCACTTCATTGTCGCCTGGTGGGCGTACAGGACGTTCTTGGATCTCTAGTTTCTTAGGTCCAACCCAGACCACGGCCTTGTTGGATGTGGGAAGGCTTGTCTCCGTCATTGTGTCAGTTGAATCAATCTAACATCAAGATAATGAGTCTGTTGATTGGTTACGGTGTATTTCCTGACGACGCGACTGAGGCTCGTGGTGGTTAGGCAGTGTACAAATTGAATGACACTGAAATCGAAACGGAACTGAAGTCGGACGTGAATTGATCGGTTCAGCTTGAATTTGGCGGAAACAAATAAACAACACGAATTCGTAGAGTGTGTTAACAGTTCGCCCAAATTATTACTTTCCCGACCATGAGAGACCGACAATAAGAGACGCATGCCCATGTCTTAAACTTGGATCCGTCTGTGACCTGGGAACTTAAAGCTCCCCCTCGCCTTCGGCATGGATCCCGGGCCGAAAGGCGGTACGGAGCTCGGCGCTGCGGTACGGTTCCCGGGCCGCGATGGATGCAATTAGTCAGCTGAAGGCTCCTTGGCTTCATATGCCCTGCTATTCCCCGTGTCCGACAATCAAAGCCTTGTTGGGATGTGTTGTGCGACGCGAGATAACCCAGGTGTTGGTGTAAGGACCCTTGCTCCGAGATATGAGGGGTAGCGTACCAGGCAAACATTACCCATTCTGCCGCTATATCGAGAGGTTGGCTGCAGATAGCCAACATAGTCTGGGCATCAAACTGCGATAACGCGTCAGTCAGACATCATACCCAGCAAACGTCTAGGAACTGAAGTTTACCGTTCATCTCTTTAAGAGGCTAGAGCTCGCCGCCCTTTGTGACCTTGTCCATCAAATTCATGCTTGCTGCCGTGGTTTCAAGTTCAAATTTCGACAAGAATGGCTTCCAGTCCAAAGCAACCAAGCCTCAGGGCGACTACCTCCACAATGATCCCAAACTGGGACCCAGCTACAGAGAAAGCTCTCGTACGAAAGATCGACCTACGCATCTTCCCCGTCATGATCGTTCTCTTCATTCTCAATTTCATCGACCGCAACAACTTCGCCAACGCCCGCCTCAGCGGCCTCGAAAAGGACCTCAAGCTCACTGACGTCCAGTACCAGACCTGCATCTCCGTGCTGCTCAGCGGCTACGTTGCTATGCAGATCCCCTCCAACATGATTCTGAACAAGCTTAAGCGACCAAGCTGGTATCTATGCGGCTGCGTCGCCGTCTGGGGCGTCATATCGGCGGCAACTGGTGCTGTGAGAGGCTTCTCCAGTGCAGTGGTCTGCCGTTTTCTTTTGGGTTGCGTCGAAGCCAGCTTTTTCCCCGGGAGTTTGCTATTCCTGTCGCGTTGGTACAATCGGAGAGAGATGCAGCTCCGTGTCACGATATTGAACAGTGGAAACCTGGCAGCGCAAGGGTTCGGTGGATTGATCGCTGCGGGGATTCTTGCTGACATGGAAGGTGCCGCTGGATTACGCGCCTGGAGGTGGCTCTTCATCGTCGAAGGTGCTGTCACCGTTGCTCTCGCTGGGGTCGCCCTCTTCGTTCTGCCGGACTACCCCAAAACAACAAGTTGGTTAACGGAAGAAGAGAGGCGAGTGGCGCAGGATCGTTTGGCGCTTGATGAGGGGTTGGCTGGAGGATCTGCCGAAGATGAAGATGTGACCGCCATGCAAGGACTAATCATGGCGTGCAAGGATGTCAAGGTATGGCTTTTGGGGCTGGCATACCATGCGACAATAATGGGTTTAAGCGTAAGTTCAGCTTTCTTTTAGCCATGGGATATTTTCTTGACTTCAGAAAATGCTGATCATGGTCCCTTTACAGTTTGTCTTCTTCTTTCCGACCATCACGCAAGGACTTGGGTACGGCCAAACAGTGACACTGCTGCTGACAGCGCCGCCTTGGATGTTCGCTGTATTGGTGTCGCTGCCAAATGCCTGGCATGCTGACAAGACGGGAGAACGATTCTTTCACTACTTTGTACCGCTCTTGACGTGTATGGTCGGATACATCATATCTGCCACGACGACGACCACGGCCCCGCGTTACGTCTCTTTGTTTCTCATGACTGGTAGGTTTCTGATCTTTATGCCATGCTGAAGGTAGAGCGACTAACAAAACCTCTTACTCAGTGGGATTTGCATCCGGATTCGTCATTCTTGCCTGGATATCCAATACAATACCCCGCCCAGCAGCCAAGAAAGCCGCCGCGATCGCAATGGTCAACGCAATGGGCAATATCGGGAGCATTCCTGGTTCATATATCTGGCCGGCTAAGTACGGTCCGTACTACGTTGAATCGTTTGGTGCAGAGATCGCATTGCTTGGCTTCGCTGCGATTGCTGCTCTTGGGTTACGGTTCTACCTCCGTGCGCAGAACAAGACGCTTGATCGTGAAGAGGCAATGCAAGACTCTGTTGAGGCTGGTGCCAAGGAATTTGTGGGATATGATGGCATGACTGAGGTCAAGAGCTTTCGTTATTTGTATTAGGACGAATGCAATCTGATAGCAAGAGCGGCAAGAGCGAGCACAAACTCCTGTACGTGCGTCTTAGTCGGGTAATCTCTAGAAAACACTTAGACATATGTTCGAATGAGAACGCTGTTGCGACGACTTTATCACTCTGGGCTATTCAAACTTCCCTCTGATCTGCAAAACTCCGTACCGTCTGCTCTCAATACCGAAAGCTGCAACGAGCCAGAGAACATCGGCGATTGGTCATTTCTCCCACGTGCAGTACATATCTTCTGCCGATGTCTACTGCTGATAACGGGACATTTTGGACAAACTCGGCGAAGACTCCCCATGCCGGATAATTCCTATCGTACTGCCCGTTGCCCAGTGAAAAGGTGCAGCTTATCTGTCGCTCATCCAGCTCTCGATCGAACCAACAGGGGCCTTGAAGGGCACAGTTACCCCCTGCGGACCCCTTTCCAACAACGGTCGGCCCGAGGTCCGTACCGCAGGCCAAGAGATGCACGACACCAACATTCGTGACTTTCATTGAATACGTGATATGCTGACTGGTTTCCTCCTCAAGCTCTACGTACAAATAGTACAAAGCTCAGGTTATTGAAGTTGAAGGAAGCCTGTTCTTGAAGACGAAAACTGACAATTGTTGGATTTTTAAAAGATATACCACTCAAGAACATTCGCGCAGGAAATCAATTGTGCAGCATGAGGAGAATCAAGTTCCTATGGAATCAATTCCCATTTGCCCGACTTGAAGACTCGAGAGATCCTCTTGAACTGTACATTGACCTGGGCATGTGCAGGATGACATGTCTGGATCCGAATTTAAAAGACTGTCCACAGCCTCAAGTTAGATCTCAACAAAGCCTGGCTAGTCGATTGCAATCCGTGATATTGCTTCTGGTCCTGGAACTTAGGACATATCGATTGGTTTTCTTAGTTTTACTTACCCTTTTTAATTCAACGCTTAAGAAATCCATGTTTTGGAAGCTTTTTTCGTTTTCATCATGATTTCCTAAATCGATGGATGCCAGGAAGCTTTCCATGCGACCGGGAGAAGCCCCACAATCCTAAATCATGAGAACACGCCCTTTGGCACAGGTTACCCCACATGGGCGCGCCTTTCGATATGATAACTTTGTCTTGAGCTTGACGAGAGCGGAATACAGGGAAGTCTCCGAATCAGGCACATTTGTATTCCAGGATACAAATGTCGCAATGGTCCTCCCTCTTGGATAGCTTACTTAGCCAAACATAACCTAGCGACACCACGTCGAACATGGAACGCCCCCCGGAACTCATTAAACTCCGAAACCACCGCCCAGGCGACATGAACTACATCGCCCACCGTCACGCAGTGGTATATCATGCGGACTACGGTTTCGACGCCTTGTTCGAGTCGCATATGTCTAGATATACGGCTCATTTTCTCGACAACTTTGACCCATCGTCAGAACGTTGCTGGATCACTGAGAGAGAGAGAGGGCCAGTTTCTGGGCTGTATCATGCTTACCAAGGACCGAGAGGTGCCAGGGTGTGTGAGGATTAGGTGTTTCTTGGTTGAAAAGACCACGCGAGGTCTTGGGATCGGCACGATGTTGGTCGAAACGTGTCTTGCCTTTGCTAGAGAAGTTGGGTACGAGCGCGTTGGGCTCCAGACGTACGAAGAACTCAGTGGTGCGAGGCGGCTGTACGCTAAATTTGGGTTTCGGATCATGAAGACGGAGGAAGAGCGTGAAGAATGGGGAAGAAAACGGGCTTCAGAGATTTGGGAGCGACTCCTGTAAATGTGTCGATTTCGCCGGGGTAAGCAGAACCACCTCCGTTTTCAAGAAATTACATTGACCAAACGTCGCAAAGAATTTCAACTGGACATCCATATTATCAGGGCTCATATGGCAAGCCATGCATGATGGTCATACCAGCAAGACTTTCAACGTAGTATGGTCGATGGCAAACAACCCATTCTCTCGTCCTCTTCCATTACCTCAATTTATGAATAGAAGCGCGACATCATGCCCAAATCAGCCCGACGTACGGCTGCCATGTCTAAGCGTAGTGTGAACAAAGTTGAACGATCTTATAATTCACTAGTCTTATGGTGGTCCGTGAGGCTTCCTTCCTGTGATGAAGCGATAACTTGTGATGAGCCTGTAGTCTTTGCTCCTGAACTCCCTCTTTACGCCTTCCATGAGAACTCGTGCTTGATCCTCACTGAATCCCAATACCCGCGTGAATAGGGCAGGTGTGTGTGATTCAACTGACATCTGCATGTGCGCCAGCTCATAACGACCCAGCTCTTTCAAAGCAGGGTCTTTTGCCCATGGGCCAATCGGTATCTGCAACGGCGTTAATAGGATCCCAATGAATTAGAAGAGTAGTTTGACTTACCCTGTAAACCAGTTCTTGAACGTCCTCAAAGCCAGCGTCAATCATCCACTGCTTGTGAAACCTCGCGACGTTGATCTGTTTGCCGTATGTCTTGCTCGCATCGTCGAGCTTCGTGACCCATTCCTTCGTCCAAATCGCCCGATCGAAGCTGTCGTCGTCACTAAAGATCCAGGCGTCGTACTCTTGCATCTCCACCCATCCACCGGGCTTCAACCCGCCCATGACCCTGTCATAGAATCGCGCCCAGTTCGATGATGTGCCGCTTAGCGCACGGCCATGAATATAGTCGAATTTCTCATCTTCACGATACGTCCAGTCGTCCTCGTAGTCATCGACATGAAACTTGCAATTCGTGGGAACCCACTCAGGCTGGATCGGGGATAAGTCAACGCCAAAAACATCCGCCGTGGGAAACTCGTCCGCCAGATCGATCGCCCAAATTCCCGTGCCCGTGCCGAGGTCGAGCACCCTCAGCCCCTCAGCCGCTTCGCTCGCCGGATCCGGTAGAGGCGCCGTGTAGGTTCGACCACCCAACAGCAGGCGCCAGATATGATGTTGAAGGTCCAAGCGTTCCTGCTCCTGGTCGTCGTTCGGGAGGACATACTGCCCCTCGCGATACGCGTGATACCGCCGGCCGTTCTCATACTGGTAATGATAGATGGATGATGTGATGGACGACGTGTACGCGGACCCGGCGTCGGAGCCGTAGGCCGAGTCATGGTCATCCCGGCGGATGTCGTTCTGTCCGATAATCAGGTCAGCCTGCAAACGTCCTCTTCGGTCCAGCGGAAGTCTGATGTGTGCGGCGTACGTCAACCTGCAGCGGCGCGACGGCCTCGTTCTCAACGGGGTTGAGAAGGAACTGGATGCTCGTCGGAACCGTGTTCCGCGGAGGCGAGGGTGTCCTCGGCGTCACAGTAGTCGCGGGTGTCGGCGATTCAGTCGACGTTGGGTCGGCACTAGGGTGCAGTCGCTGACCCGGGCCCGAGTACCCGGAACTGGAACCGCCGGTACTTGAGTGATTCGACGTCATTGGAGCGGTGTCAAAAGATCGGCAGTGTGTTTTTGGCCTGTGCGACGCGCCGTGTTGCTTTTCCAATTCAGTTGCAGCTTCAAACAGCCGCGAAAAGCCTAAAAAGATCGCGGGCAGAAGCGTCGAAAACGAGATCAATCAAATCATCAGCCCACGTCGGAGTATCATTTGATTCCCCGGTTGCAGAGAAAGGATGAGAGGGAAGGGGGGAAGTGCGGATCGGCCGGGAACCCAGCTTGAAGAATTTCCTGGGAGGAGCCTTGCTCATAAACCCCTGGGCACCCCATCCCTGAGCCGACTTGAAAGCGTGGCAATGAGTCGAAAATATCCCCTAGTCCTCATTCAGCTCAACGTCCGTGCCTCCCCATGTTCAGCTCGCCAGTCGGTGGCCACTAGCGGAACTGTTCCATTGATATGCAATAAAGCATTATCAATTTTTGCGAGAAACATTGCTTGAAGATTACCAACAAGAGAGTAGGAATTGATGTGACCAAGTCTTTGTTCGTGGTAATAACATAGACTTTTGAACAGATCCGACCGGACCAAGATTGCTTCATATCGCAGAAGTTACTCATCTATCCAATTTGACACAAGCAAAGTTTCGGCTGTCATTTACTATGATTTTCGTTATGTTAATATATTATGTTTTAAGTCATTCAAAGTATGATAAGTTCATGTTTCTCGGACAGTAAGTGGTCACTGACTCACTCAATGAATGTCGTCTCATGAGCTAAACTTCTGACGTGGTTCATCGGACTTCTTAAGTTCTGCACCATAAGACCGTTGAAAATTTCAAGATGACAAACTGAAACTCAACGCATATTCTGTCCAAAGCTCTATCGCAACGTGAGATCTTGGGCGCTTTGCTCGTTTTCGCTCTAACACAATTAATGATATCGTAAAGGTCGAAATTATGTCCGATGTACAATAAGTGAGACTAACTGAGGTCAATCTCTACAGGCTAGAAAAGAGATTTCATAACGTCGTGACTGAGCTCAGAAGAGAGATATCACCTGATTTTCCTTCATCGGGGATTCTCAGCGTCGCCTAGCCGCCTTCCTCCATTGACCTCATCATCCAGGCAGGCGGCATGTCTATTTTCAAGGTCGTCTCTTCCGCCACATCGTGAAGGTTCTCAGTTCGCGGGGGCACCGCAACACCCACAGCCTTCCAGTAATCGTTCAATATCCTCCAGTCGAGCTCCATTCCTACTACCAGGTCATCAGCCCATATAGGCTCTGGCTTTACGCCTTGGAAGATAACTTTCAGCTCGAGAGGAAAATAACGCTTCTTTCGATGTCCGAGTACGACTAGGACCTTCCTGCAAAGCCGAGATAGACCTGTGCTGGCGGCGTCGATGACTCCGTCGCGACCGCCAGGAAACTGGGCCCAGTAGTTCCGCACCGCATCCAGGGCCAACCAACTAAGTTCGAACTCCGTCTTCCAGCCCGACTTTGACGGATGGTAGTCGATTGTTGCCGGTGCGTCGATGATTGTATACAGCTGAATGTCATAGACGCCACCACCGCTGTAAACGATGACGTGTTTTGTAATAGATAGTAAAACTGGTGTCCAAGTGTTCAAAACTTCCTCT